GGCCACGCAGCCTCGACTGCTGGGCTCCGGCGATCTTTCCGCCTCAGCCTTCCAAGTAGCTGGAACTACAGGCATGTGTTACCATGCCCGGCTAATTTTTGATTTATTGTAGAGATGAGGTCTCACCAAGTTGCCGAGGCGGGTCTTGAACCCACGGGCTCAGGCAATCCACTCACCTCAGCCTCCCAAAGGCAAAGGATTACAGGCTGAACCACTGAGCCCGGCTTCAACAATTTTTAAATAGCATCTCTAGTATGGTTAATAAATCTTTGTTGATGATAATATATATAATTGATTCAGTTTACATTCTTATTTATAATTACCTACCAAAAGAGAGATTTAAATCCTGCAGCTATTTGATTTTGAGTTTTGTGTTCACCAGGAACTTCCCTAAGGACTCCTATAGCATCTAGATATATATTAGAGCCAAATGAGCCAGGTACTGGTGGTTCAGGTAATGATCGTTTAATTCTTTTAGTGGTTATTAGTGGGTTTTGAAATGCCAGGGTGAATGGAATAACCAATCAAACCACAGTACAGGTTCCCATCCATTTGGGTGGTAATACGGCTTGAATTGTTCTACCTCCACAGTACCACCAAACATCAGCTCGAGGTATGTTAGGTCAAGTAGTTGCCCTCAGTTGATCCAGAAACATCAAGGACATGGGTGCAGGTTTCCAGAAGCACCACAGGAGCGGTGAAACCATCCCCTTATCTGGAGAGACAAAAGGAATGATTTGCCTTACCTATGAAGAAGGAAGGATACACCTTTGGATCTGACGTCTATACAGGTGAATCAGGGAGAGATTGTGGCAAGTCTCATTCCCCCATGTATCCTTATCTTGATATAGAGCCAACAGACAGCTCGTTCCTTTGGGGTCTGTGTCCCAGTTAATAGGGGATGGGATTATTTGAACCTGTGGCCTACCCATGGCACAAGCATAACAATCACTTTTGTTAAGGCTTAGTACTGTGTATTTTATCTATTCAAACCAGGCATTTGTGTCCCCATATCCTGTCTCAATCTTTAAAGTTTGTTTTAAGTCTGTTATTTCCATAATTTTTACCTTGCCAGAATCATTCTTGCTGTTAGTTTGGTTTAATTACCAAGGCTGTAAAGGGTTTGGATTAGGGGTTGGGGTAGTATTGATAGATGGTGAAGATGCTGGAGGCATTGCAATTAATTTTATCCAAAATTTACCTGGAGGGCCCTGTCCAGATATGAACAACGGGTCACGTTGTAATAGTAGCCCCTCTTATAAGTTGGATTTTATTTTTAAGTTTTTTTTCTTTTTTTTTTTTTTTTTTTGAGTTGGAGTCTCACTCCATCACCCAGACCAGAATGCAGTGGCCTCTCCTGGCCACCGCAGCCTTGACTTGCTGGGCTCCGGCAATCCTTCTGCCTCAGCCTTCTAAGTAGCTGGAACTACAGGCGCGCACTACCATGGCCGGCTAATTTTTTGATTTATTGTAGAGATGAAGTCTCGCCAAGTGGCCCGGGCAGATCTCGAACCCGCAGACTCAGATAATCCACTCATCTCAGCCTCCCAAGGCATGGGATTACAGGCTGAGCCACCAAGCCCAGCTTCTTCTTCTTCTTTTTTTTTTTTTTACTGGAGCTATACATCAAGGATTATTTGGGGTGAGTAAAGTTATGCCATTCATAACACAAGGACCAGCTTTTAGTAATAAAATTTACCTTTCAACAATTCTTGTCTTACAAGGTTTTCTGGATCTAATCCAGAAAATTTTTTATCTGGTCTCAGAGTCATTGTAAAAAAAAAATGCTGTGGGATTTTCTCCCCCCGCCCTTTTTTTTTTTTTTTGCTGAATTTCAAAAGCCTTAGAAACATTTTGAGGCCTTGGGGCAGATTCATTAGTTCCCTCAAGTCTTGCATTCTTACCCTATCTCCTGGGTTAGTAATTGTCCTATCTAGGGTCAGTTTTTGGATACTTTTGTTCAGCAGGCTGTACCCCTGGGTCTGGGATTGTTGGGAGCCAGCCATGGAGGCCCATTGAGCATTAGGGATCAGGGAGGGCCTTGGACCTCGAGACCACTAGGATGTGTTCAGGAGCTGTTGACCTCATTCCCTTCTCCCTTTTTCTATTTAGCACATTTAGCCAAAAGGAACTCGGCTGACCTAAGCTGAAGTCTCTGTGACTGTGACAGGCATGGCTAACTCTAGAAACTCATCGTTCCTGTTTCCCATGAACTGCGGTTTTGGCTTAGGCATTAGATATAATTCAAACTCAGGTCAAATTTGGGAGCCTTCAATACAGTACAAGCTTCTTTATAAGATTTAAAAGTATATTTGTAGAATTAGTATATACATATGGAGAGCGGTTTTCAGCTTTAGATGGTATAAATGATTATCTGTAGTCACAAGGAATGGTCCAGTACGAACTTTGAACTGGGCCACATTCTTAAGAGCCCAGTGTGTACTTTGGACTGGGTCACATTCTTTTGAACCAGTTTTAGCTAACAATTAGTATAGAGTTTTTCTCTATTCATTATAGAAGTAGAATTTATTTTATTCATAGAAAGTATTGTAGAATAGGTTATGCCAACGTCAGGGAATTAGGATAGTTCAAGCATGATACTTTGAGATTTAATTAGAAACTTTTATAGAAGTTAAGGTAGATATATAAGATTTTAGAGTAGCCATTTTGCTAAGAGATTATAATCAATTGCTCCTAGAAACAGCCCAGTGTGATCTTTGGACTGGGCCACATTCTTTAGGAACTGGGTTGAGCTATAATTAAGAGTTTCCATAGTGTAGGAAGAATTAGCATAGAATAGAAAAGGTAATAGGATTTAAGTTACTCGTTTTAGGTGTTGTGTACACATAAGCTTTAGAAGTTATTGATTATTAGAACATCATGATACTAGTGGAGATTGTTGCATTATTTTTGAGGAACATTAACCAAGCATTAGGAACAGTAGGATAATTTTGGGATTGTTCTTCCTTATACTTGAGGAAACTTCTGGAGAGTCGGGGGAGGCGCCTCTCAACCACCTGGCTTTGTGTTCACGTGAAAGTCTTGTATTTTAACCCATGAAAATTTAGGATAAAAGGCTTATGGTTTGTCGAATTAAATGGCTTCTGCACTAGACAGAGTCTAGTCTCTTTCTTGCTTTCTTCTAATATCTATCCCTCCAGTTTAATTGCCGACG